GAAAGTTGCAGCCTGTCTGTAGGTTTATTAGTGCTTCCACATGCTAATAGAAGTTTATCCTCAGGATTGTTAGAATCGATTAGGTTTTTGTGTAATCCAGTGCCAGTTCAAGTATAATCCTGGTGAATAGTGACGTCACGTCTAAGAGGAGACTAGTATGAGTTGTGATTTTGTGTTGTGACTTTTACGAAGTCGCTTTTCTTGAGTTTTTGGTAAAACATGACAATTACTAACAACAAACCGTAGTGCATTACAGCAATCATCTTACAACCCTACATCACACAAAGCCAGCACGATAAGAACGATAAGAAAACGTGCTCACTGCTCAACTCACATGCAATTCATCGAATCCTCTACACAACGAAGCACTGAACACAAACCAAACAAAGAAGAATCTCACGAAAACAACAAACGATACCTTGCAGAGTTATAACAAGGTACGTCTGCGGCAATCTCACGTAGCTACGACCATACAACATACGTGTCACACATAAATCATTTATAACGTTACGTCATGAAGAAATCAAGTGGGACAGGGCTGATGTATTACAAACATCACCTCAACACTGAGACACAGACTTATCTTAGAAAGTGTGGTATGCTAACTAAAGAAAACAGTTTAAGCAATGTCAACAATAACTTGTACAATTTGCAGCATTGCCATCTCGTATGTTTTAGACCTGCCATGTAAATTTTTGTGCATTATCTTTGTTTATTTTTTTAATATGTTGTTTTTGTGTTGGATGATTACTGAACAAATTGGATGGTAGGAGTAAATAAAAAACCTAAAGACACAACTGTGAATGATCATAATCTACAAACATGTACTGGTGATACTCCTGGGTCAAAACTTAAAAACCAAACCCATTACTTCAAGTTACCTTACAATGGCCACTACTCACAAATCACAAAACGAAAACTACATAACTTGGCCAGACGTTACTGCACAAACTTAGCCATAAAACTAGTATTCTCTTCTTTTAAAATCAAAACTTCTTCCGCTTCGAAGACCCCATCCCTTTCCTCTTAAAATCCAATGGGGTTTACAAATTCTCTTGTCGGGATGTAATTCTCGCTACATTGGCGAAACCAGCCGCCACCTCAATATTTCAGTTTCCTGGTAAACAGACATCTCACTACCCTTGGCCTTAGTATATATTCTATTAGCGAATGTTGGTCTAGAACTCCCAAGAGAAAAACTATAATTTCTATTCTATCATTACTCTCTAAAACGATCAATACTGGTAAGGACTGAGGAAGTGTAGACAAGTTTGCGGAGGCCCAACAGTCATCGTTAACATACATTTAGTCTTAACTCCTGACTGTCTTTAAACATCCGACTAACAAACGCCGTTCTCCGCGTCAATTCTTTCTCCGCAAGTTCACTCCATCGACTACAGACCAACCCAGCAGCCACTAAACTTTTTGCTGGTAACAATTGAAATATGTTTGCCACTATTTCTGGTGGCAAATATATGAAATATGTATATGGGCGTTCGATTACAATGGCGCTTGATGGAATATTTTTCGACATTTGCGGCCATGTTGTATTTAACCGTTTGTTAATTTGGTGGACTGGTAACAATGGAATGGAATCTCTGTTGATGAATGTTCGGTGTGTTTGGCAAAATTTTCTAGATATCTTTCTTCTGTTGTAATAACTTATAAACTTCTTGTTTAATGGAAAAACAACAACAACGTGCTATGAAACATATTATTAAGTTGAATCTACAAACTTTCTTAATACTATGACGTATACGTCACGTGACAGCGACTTTGAATTCCCTTTCAAAAAGCGCGCAATTCAAAATGTCATCTATTCTTCTTTCATACGAAGAGGCAATTTCAGTTTACGTCAAATGTTTGACCTAAATGTGTGCGAAGAGAGGAGCTCAGAAGACCCACAGTAAGTTCCTTGTCGGTCAAAGGTATTAAAATACGATCAGCTACTTAAGGCTAACTTTTTAGGATTATTTTATAATTTTGTAAGCAAGGAAGACCGAAGGTTTTAAATTTGTTCTGCCTTTGCCACCTAAAGCATAACCGTTGTTTTTGTAGTCACAGTTTGTTAAGAAATTATGCTAGACCTTGCTACAACATCTCTTGGCATATCAAGGGAACAAATGATGCAGGTACAAACACAGTTTATATATGTTTAGAAAAGTTATTTGTATTCGTTTGGTTTAACCTAAAACAAGACAAATTATATTCTACGTCGCAAATGACTGCCTTCTACAGGCAGACTACTAATAGGCCTTTAGGCTAAGATGAAGGTAAGGGCTTTTAAGTAACAGTGTAACATCTATTCCTCCCACTAAGTTCAGTTTTCCTTTGCTTGGCATTTCCTATTAGTGTAAACCCATAAGGTAAAAATGAGAAAAAGGTTTAAAAAATTTAAAAAAGATTGACATGGTCAAGGAAAGCAAAGTTAATACTTCCGCGAGTTCTGAGCATTTAACATTTCAAAATTAAGGCAAAATTAAGCGCATTTAGCTAGCCCTAGCCCTAAAAGCAAAAATGTTCAAATCTAATTGTGTCCAGATACACCCAGGCCTTTTGTAAGCCGGACCTTTGAGCTTAAGTCCCTCAGCCTACTGGATAGTCGGCTCCTGCTGCCTTCAATGTGAATTTTACCTATGAGCAACAACTGCCAATATTTGCCCAGGTGTATATGTCATTCATCAGTCATCTATATTAACTTTAGCCACCTTTCAAGCTGGTCAGTATGCTTCCTTATCCAGATATTTTGAAGGAAGGAGCATCGTTTATATACTACATTGATTGTGTAAGTATAGCAATATAACGAAATGTCATGCAAAATGAATGTGCTATTTCAGATAGCAAGTTCAAGTCAGTTAAAGATTTCAAAAGTTATCCGACTTTCAACATTGGCTCTAAAGAAAACTTTTGTTTAATTTCAGACAAAGATTCCTCCATTCATGTTTGGTGAAAGATTTTTTGAAAATGATCTTACAGATCCAAGTAAGTGAGATCATGAACAACTATTGAAATATGTAAAATGCTTGACATAACATTACCTCATCAAATTTCTCTGTTTATACAGAACCAATACTTTGAACATCATAAGGTATGACATTATAACATCATTCCTATTTGTAAAAGTAAATCAATAAAATGCATGGAATCATTCATGTTTGCAATGATTTATATGAACCATGTAGGCAGTTGTGAGATTGTTAAGCCTGTTCTCAACTAGCCACGTCTCGTAGCAAAACGTAACATGGCGTATGCGTGCTTATGAATTCGATGGTCAATAGGCACAAGCGCGCATGCGCCGTGTTTTTGTTACTGATGACGTTACGATTCGTGGCTAGTGGAAAACAGCCTTCTGTCTAAAGCCTGTTTTCCACTAGCCACGTATCGTACCAAAGCATAACATGTCGCATGCGTGCTTGTGAATTTGATGGTCAATAGGCACAAGCGCGCATGCGCCATAACGTTTTGCTACGATGCGTTACGATACGTGGCTAGTGGAAAACAGGCTTTAGGGCTTGCGCTCATCTGCTCCTGACTTTGTGTGCATAAGCCTGTGCAAACACTGTAAACATCTCTTGTTTCCTAAATGTCAAACTCAGGCTGTATGTGCTCAATTTGCTGAATGTGCTATGTACTCTTAGATGCTTTTTATTTAGTGCTGTAGTAAACTACGAGAAGTTCAAAGAACTCAGAATCAACATTTCGATCAGTGACCGAAAAGAAGGTACAATAACAGTACAACAAAATTGAATGGCTTGATTTGAAAATCGGGTTTATCTTGGACTCGTTACTGTCTTATCTCTTGGTTGCTTATGGTCCTGTGGCTGGTCTTTGCTGTATATTATCCTAGGGCTTGTTGCACAAAGTCAGGATTCACTTGATTTAATTGCTTCAACAATCTTTTTAGAAGGCTGCAATTTAAGCTGGGCGGTCTTAATGGATTTAACCCACAAAAAACATTTTTTTCTCGTTTTTGTGAGATATATTCATGTCTTTTCGCTACAGGAATCGGTAGCGGAACAAAAAGGCTTCTTCAGGAAAGAAACAAGGAACTTAAGGGAAAAATTGCAAAATCAAGTAGAGCATCGTCAATTTATGACATAATTGCTTCCAGATATGCTAAACTTACCAATAAAACCAATGTATCTTTTGTTCTATTCATTGTCATTCCATAGAGCGGCTCGCAGCGTTGACGAAGATACAGCAGGTTCACCAAACAAATTTTAAAAGAAACAAAGTCAATATAAAGTTTTTGATGTAAATACAATCATTTATAAACACACGCAAATCGTATTTATTAACAGTAAATTTAAAAGCGTAAATATATCTATAATTGAAAAACAATAAATATATCTATAAACAAAAAAATATAAATATATCTGTAAAAACCAAAACGTAAATATATCTATAAACGAAAAACGTAAATATATCTATAAACGAACTGTATATATAAATCGAAAAACGTAAACATATCTATAAACGAAAGCGTAAACATATCTGAAACGAAAACATCTATAAACGAAAAACGTAAACATAAACGAAAAACGTAAATATATCTATAAACGAAAAACGTAAACATATCTATAAACCAAAAACGTAAACATATCTATAAACGAAAAACGTAAATGTATCTATAAACGAAAAACGTAAATATAAACAGAATTTTATTGGTCCATAACTATAAAAGTTTCCAACTAAGCATTCTACTTGCCTGATTTAGCATGAAAAAATTTATAACGAGTTGCGTAATATTCAACCGAGCGATATGCTCTAATTGTCCTTCTTTCATTAAGAATTCTATCGATCTTTTATATTAGTTCTTTCAGACAACCATTCATTATTAATAAATTAGTAATCACCAACTTTTCGAATTTCAAACAAATGAAAAACGCACAAAGACCCTCGTCATGAATGATTTAGATACCGGTTTTAAGACTGCATCATTAAATTGAACTTCAAAATTTCATGCGACATAGTTTCATGTTTTTGCTTGATGTAATACACAGGTTCAACCGATTGTAGAAGATCTCAAGAAAGAAGTGAATGACTTGAACATAAAACAGGTGCGCATGCGCACTACGTAATCCACAACAGTTGGCTTTTCGCTAAGTATAGGGGATATACAGTAGGTCCACTTCGCCGTGCAACTGACTGCTGTATATTTAATTAGATTACTGGCTGTCGTTAGCCATTTCATCGTTCCCATTGGTCAAAATTGAACGGTTGCCACTATGGTAATTACGTGCGTAAAGAGATATGCCTGGCACAAAAAATTTTAATGGAGTGGCTCTAATGTATATTCACTATACCCTGCTTCTGGGGTTAATCGTTTTCATTTGTTCTGTTTCATCTTGTTTAGGCATCAGACGTGAAATACACACAGCAATTGAAAACGGAAATTGCCGAGCAGACATCGAGTCAGGTTTGGGAATGTTTGAACCTCGTTCCCAGTCTTCCGCCTTTTATAATCATTCACTATCGTGTTCTCAGGCCGAGTTGAAGGTGCTGATCGCAAACAACGTTGAAGAATCGGAGAGTTAAAGGCGAAAATCGTAACATCTCCCGAAAGTTTCTTGGGTAAAGAAATTTTTGGTTTTTCATGATGATTTCATCCTTTTTTAAAACGTCCTTCGGTTCTGTTCCGTTTCAGGAACTCGATCGGATGAGCACCGCCATCGAGACTTACAAATTGGTCATCGAAGAGAAAAGTCAGAATACTTCACGAGAAAAAATTTGGAAGAATCTCAACGTTGTTGAAGATGTAGGATTTTTGATAACCTTCTTCATTTTGTGTATTCAGTCCGCTTCGTATTGTCGCACCATCCATAACTGCCATTTTTTGCGTGTTATTAACAGCTGCATTTAGCATCAACAATGCATGGTTGTAAATGTCGATCGTCCAGAGTAGTATGTGTATAGAGTCATTTTTTGACTCTGAAGATGACTACCGCTAAGGTTGTCGAAACGTCATCAACAACAACAAAACAGTTCTTCTCAGGACTATACTAACCTGGACGATCTACATTTACAAACATGAAACGATACTCGGGTTCAAACCATTTACTTTAATAATGCAGGGGAGACAAAATTCATATGCGTGTTATAGTTTGCGAAAGCAATGGATTTCAAAGGATCTTAATGCAACAGAAGATGAATAAATGAAAATAACCCCCTCAATTATCAACTCGCTTGGCCACTGGATATGAAATCACCAGAATAATTCCTTTAAAAGAGCCATCACTTTGATTCGCCTAGTTCTCCGTTATTGCTTTTGTCTAGAAACCGTTGTTTTCGGTTGTTCGGAAGAAAACCTAGGCTCGCTTTTCCTTATTTTTTTTTTCAAAGAAAAAATTTGTTTGTAAACTCAATTATGAATATGATGACTAGATGCCATAAACCTAAGGCTTGTTTTGTCTGTGTTTTCCCATTGTTTTCTGGCACAGACTGCACACTGCAAACTTGTTTCTTGTCATCTCTTGAAATATTTCAAACGGGATGATTTGACGTCAAATGTATAGTTGGCTGCTTTCTTAACACCTTTCTTTCTCGTCCTACATCATTGTGTGAAGTTTCTCGGCGATTTTTAGAATTCTTGCACAGCTGATCGGGTTATCTCATCAGTGCAAGATGAATTCACTAAGGAAAACGGTAAGTTTCGTGTCTTCAAAACTTATTTTTGCAATATTCATACAGGCTAGCGTCTAGTTAGATATAGATAATCTCCAGTAGATATAAATATGACCTGGTAGATATAGTTAGAATCCATTAGATGTGGATAGGGTCCAGTAGATATAAGATAGGATCAGTAGATGTAGATAGGATCCAGTAGATATAGATAGGATCCAGTACAATAGATATGTTCTGGTAGATGTAGATGGGATCCAGTAGATATAGATAGGATCCAGGAGATGTGGATAGGATCAATAGATGTGGATAGGGTCCAGTAGATATAAATAGGATCCAGTAGATATAGTTAGGATCCAGTAGATATAGCTAGAATCTAGTAGATATAGATAGGATCCAGTTGTTAAAGATAGGATCCAGTAGATATAGATAGGATCCAGTAGATGTAGCTAGAGTCCGGTAGAACATAGATGGCTGCACATGGCCCAACAGACTTAGCGAGGGCCTAGTAAATATAGCTTGGGCCGGGAGATTTAGCTAGGGCACAGTAGTATAGCTAGGGTGCAGTAAATATACATAGGCTCAGTGCTTCAATGTGTTATGATCAGTTTATTTAATATACAAACTGTCAATTTAGAAATCGACAGAAAAATACCAAGAAATACTGGATGAGGCAGCCATCAACAATGAACAACTTGCATATTAATTTTGAACAAAAGGTCAATACATCGTAAATTTAATTGTAGATGTTTGTCTCGTGTATATGAAGTAATCTAAAATCGTTTTCTCCGCCTTCTTCCATTTTCAGAACGCCAAACGTCAGTTGACGATGATGATAGGAAAAAAAGATCGCATGGAGCGAGTTTATGAAAAGAAACTGGCTGCGAAAAGGGACGAGCTTGAAGTGAACAAAAAGTACGAATTCGTGGTCGTATTTGTTGCCTTTCGACGTCAATTTTTACTGTTTGCACACGTAATGTTTTCAATATCAAAGAACATTTAAAACGTTTTATGTAGTTTCTTCAAAGATTTTTCTTTTTTCGTTTGCGGTATTTAATTGAGTTCCTTTTCTGGTGAAATTTATATCTCACCGACACTTTTTAAAACAAAAGATAAATTATTTGATTGTCATACAAGAAGAAAGTCCCCCTTTCATAAAGCACAGGTGATCTTATTGGTCACATGGCCGTTGGTAAATTACTTAAAGTCTGATTAGTGCTCTGCTGATTTATCTGGAATTCATTTTATTAAGAATTTATAACAATTTTGTCGGGAAGGCACTTTCTTTTTGTCTTGTGTCTATCTCAACAACAAAACATGGCATGAAGAAGAAAAATGGAATAAGAATTTTTTGTAAATAATTTACGAACGGAATTTTTAGTTTCGTTCGTTCCACGTGTTTTGACATGTATTGGACATGTTTATGACATGTATTGGACATGTATTGGACATGTTTTGACATGTATTGGACGTGTTTTGACATGTATCGGATGGACATGTGTTTTGGACATGTTTTGGACATGTTTTGATCGTCGTAGGGATGTTGAGATGTTGCAGAAAAAAGGAAAACAGCTTCAAGAACAATCTTCGACAGATGAAGAATTACAAAGAAGTGTTAGCGAAGGTGGGAAAGTTACAACTCGCTCATTTTCTATATATCACATTCAACTGTGGGTTCAATTTCCTCTAAGTCAATAGGATTGCTTACTTACTATTTAAATTCACCGCTGTTTTCAACGTACAACTTGTTTTGTGTTTAAAGATAAAAGCAATGGAGGAAGACTACGGCATGAAAAAGAATTTAGTGAAAGAGGTCTACGAGCAGATGATAACCTCAGTAAATATATTATAATATCATGAAATAAATTTATAAAATTGGTCTATAGCCGTGCTCATATTAGCCTGGGCAAAACAGATCGAGCTCAACCAATCAAATCAATCAATCAGTCAAAGAGAATTTTCAAATCAATTATTTGAATACATGTTAGAGAAAAATTAGATTGTTTTAAATTTATCTTTTTCGCATCATTATAATTTTATAAAAGAAATCAAAGATGTTTTTCGTGTTTACACTGGCTTATGTAAATGTCGTGGACGTTTTTGAGAACTGTACCGATCTGCTCTCGAGTTTTCCCAAAAGTCACCTATGTTTGCGTAAGCCTGAAAAACAGTAAACATGTAAACAGTAAACAAACAGTAAACAGTAAACAAACAGTAGACAAACAGTAAACATGCAAACAGTAAACAAACAGTAAGCAAACAGTAAACATTGATTGTATCTTAAATGACTTATTGAACATTGATTTTGTGGAAGGTTTTTGTTTTGTTTTTCAGCTGAACAATTATCACGAAGGGCTTAGAAATGGCGCACATGCTGTGCTGAACGCTTTTTCAGATTCTGAAGATACGAATAATGCCAATGAAGTGTTTGGATGTGATGATCCGACGCCAAATGAAGTAATGCTAGAAGTTAAGTAAATACAAACGATAAAAGTTAGCGTGATTTTGTTTTATAGCTGAAAATATTTTCCTCCGTTATGTGTATTGTATAAAGAGATTGAAGTAGAGTTGAAAAACTCGATGAACTTATATTTAGGAACAGTATCTTCATCTTTGAGTTGAAGTTCATTCAAATATAAAACAAAGCTCTTGCAAATCATTTATTCGGTGTGATCGTGGAGTTGTACACCAGCATTCAAAATACCATCTCACATGAGAGTTTGTCGTATACGTAAAATATATTTCAGCTTTTAGTGCGACATTTTAAACACCTTCAAAGCAATATTGAATTTCAACTGACGAATGCGCCACCATTTCAACGCATATAGCAATGACAATTGAGCGGGGTTTTCGACTGCCAGTGTGACTTTATTAGACTTCTACACTAATGCGATAAGAAGGCGTCTCGTTTTTATATACTTAAATAGATTTTCTTTCAATGGGGCTTTTAGCTAATGTGCCAGGCCTGGATAAAGTATTTCACTACCTGACACTGACAATGCTGGGAAGCTTCCATTCGTCTGAGTTGAGTAAAATTTTAAAGTGCGCATTAACCTTGCAGGATTTTAGTATAGTTTGAAAGAGTTTACAGTTCTTTAAAACTGTAAATTTAAAAAACAAATGAATTGAGATCAAAGCTTTCTTCGCAATTACGGTTTAAAGTCCAGATTTCCCTACATTTATTTCCCAATGGGGTCTGGTATCCAGTACATGTTGTGACGTCATGTAAGGAATACAGTCGCGTGGGCTTTATTCAAAACAAATTATTTGCTTTTAAAATAATCAATGTTGTTGCCGATATTTCGATTATTGCGTCGTTTTTTTTTCAAAATGTCCTCATCTTGGTCGGAAACATCATCTTCAGATTCATCAGAAAATGCGAATTATGATATAGAGATGGAGGACAGTGTTTTACCGGTGTCTGTCCTTGCAACTTGGTATATCGCCTTACGAATACATCGGCATTTGGCATGATGTGACAATAGTAAAGAAAATAGCCTGTTAAATTACTATAATGTTCAGACCCGTGTTACTTACATGACGTCACCCAACCGCACAGGCCCAGTCCTTTAGCGGTAAAACTGAGCGCTTAAAATGGTCTATTTTTGCAACTTTGACGGACAGTACGATTGGTAAATATTACATTAAAATTTTGAAACATGGCTTTTTAAACCACATTCATTGGATAGTGTAAAAACCACGTAAGGTTTTTATGCATTTTAAGGACAGACCGACTGGTACCCGTTGTTTCAGGTCATGTTTTCTCGAACAGAAAAACTTCCCTTAAAAACAGTTATCACTAACTTGAACTAAACTGTCTAACATGAGAAGGTACTCTTTGGAAACATATATGTACTGTTGCAGTCGATCCTTCATATGGTGAGAGCGTTTCACTGGCCTGTTTTCCCTTATTTTCATTCAGATATGACATCTAGTGACACACTAAAACGTGGAATATTCAACTGTCCTTCGTGCGTCTACGAAACGAAATGGTTCGACAAAACGTGGATCATTTCACATTCTTAAGCAATGCCACATTCAAACAACGCTATCTTATCAGTACGTCTCACTGGAAGCCGGGGAACGTCATATTCTTTTACTGTGGAAACGAGGCAAATATTGAACACTTCGCAAAAACAATGGGTTTCCTGTGGGAGACTGCGCGAGTTTAACGCAATGCTAGTATTCGCCGAGCAACGCTATCAAGGGAGTAGTATGCCATGGAGTAAACTCCCTCTCGGGTTCTCAATACACCGGATATTTGACCTCATCGCAGGTTCTTGCATTACTCCAAGCTCATAGACAATATCAAGTCAAATGTGAGCGGTGCTCGCTATAGTCCAGTTATTGCTTTCGGCGCATCATTAGGAGGTCAGTATGCTGCCTGGATGAGGATGAAATATCCAAGTGTAGTTGCAGGTGCAGTTGCATCCTCGGCCCCAATCTTCCAGTACTCTGCAGACTGTGGGACACAGTACTTTTTGGTGACTAAGGCCTTTGAAAGAGAGGGAGGCCACGAATGTGTGGAAGTTATACGTCGTTCTTGGGATATTCTTGACAGACTCAGTCAGAAATGAAGAAGGCTTGAAATTTATTTCGAAAACGTTTTCCCTATGCGAAACGTTGAATGAATCAAAAGAAATCTATCAACTTCGCGACAAGTTGGCGCTATCCTATCTTTTCCTCGCCATGGAGAACTATCTCACCCGACTTCCACGAAACCTCCGTGGCCCATTAAGACGGTTTGTGGAAACATCAAGAATGTTAAAGACGACGATAGAGAATTGTTGCAGGATTTATCCAACGCTTTGTCGGTGTACTTCAATCATACGAGAAAGTTGAAGTGTCTTCATTTACCAAAGGATGGAAAGGAGTTCTTAGGTAATGTCAATGATTTAGAACCCAATCTTCTGGATGTCTAAATAACGTGTGTCAAGGTGAGGTGAGGCCATTGAACTAAAATACATGAAACGCTACCTGTAATAGAAAAGTGTCATAATTTTTTGAAGCCAAATTTTACACCCAGACACGCGTGTGTAGTCTATTAATTTTCAGAATCTCGAAATACTACACACGTGTCTGGGTGTAAAATTAACTAAATATTCTTCAGGTAGCGTTCCATGTATTTCATGGAATGAGAGCAAGGACGCCATCTTGAAAGCGGCAAAAGCAAAACTCAAAATGAAAAATAAGTTAAAAGAAAGTTTAAAAAACTCATCCTATCAAACATTTTAAGAATGAAACCTAGACTATTAACGTTGCAACTGTATATCAACACAGGAAAAGCAGATTTTAGTCGTAAATATCGTCAGTTTGCCACCTCTCAAGATGGCGGCTTGCCTCACTTTCACTCATTACTATACAATTTCGGCGGAGTCAGATATCTAGTGGATTGGGTTCTAGGTCATTAGGTAACACAATCTTGGGCTCTTACCACTTTTGCAACCTCGTCATTTTTCATTGACAGTTTGAAAACCTTTTTCACCACTATTTGACTTGGACGACTAAAGTAATGAGAAGTTGCTGTCGTAGTATGTAATATACTTGTAATATTGCAGTTGAACTTTCGTCTTTATTCAGATGTAACATCGATCTACAGCTCACAAGCTAATAAATTAAATGGTTAGAACCAGGGGTATCGTTAAATGTTTGTGGATGTAGATCGTCCAGGTTCAATGAGTCCTGTGAAGGACTGTTGTTTGTTGATGTTGACTGACGTTTTGACAGCCTTAGCGGTAGTCATCTTCACAGTGTAAGAAATAACTACCGCTAAGGTTGTCGAAACGTCAGTCAACAGCAAAACAGTCCTTCTCGAGATATACCGCTGGACAATCATTACAACAATAACGATACTCGGAGTTCAAACCATTACTTTTGGTGAAAAGCGATCAGCGTTCAGACCTCTAGTAACCTGGACGATCTCGTTTACAAACGTAACGATACTCCCGGGTTCAAACCATTTACTTTATTACAGTGAAAGCGATCAAAGCATTCAGACCTCTAGTAACCTGGACGATCTACTTCTTTTCACCAAAACAAATCATGGTCCAAACGCAACGCTACCAACACGTTTGATGTAACCATGGGCAGCTATGATGGAGCAGAAGTTTGCGAGCTTGTAGGGCTATTCTTACTCTACCAACTTCAGCAGCGGTGGAAGCAACGTCGGCTTATACCGTGACGATGGCCTTGCAGTCATAAATGCAGAAGTGGAGACTCAAAGAAAGAAAACCCTCCTTTCATTTGACGAGCTTGGACTAAAATCACAGCGATGACAAACCATGAACACACAAACTTCCTTGACGTAACATTTGACCTTATAGCGACACCTACAAACCTTATAGAAAACCCAACGACGAAGCCCCTCTTCATTCACAGATCTTAACCACCCACCATCAGTATTACGCCAATTACCCACATCCATCAACAACCGAATTAACACCTCATCTGACAAAGACACCTTCGAAAATGCCGCAATTTGGCCAAGCTCGAAACAACTACACCGCGCCAACTGCTTTAATCCATCAAACATCAATGTAAACACCACGTACAACAGAAACGTAACGTCGCGGTTTAAACACCATAAGCAAAACGTAAAACTCCATCGCCCATGACTTCCTACAACTTATCGACAAACATTTCCCGCAAATACCCCATATATCCAAGATATTCAGCGACACATGTACGCGTAGCTGGCTGCGGCGCGGCAACGGCGGTACGGCAAGATTGGCAAAGGGCGGCAGGGGCGCAGCCGGGAACTAAATGCCGTTCGTGAAAATTATCGTGAACATAAAGACAAACCAGCGCTGCAGTGATCAGACAAAACTCAAAACGCAGATTATGAATATGTTGGGTGGTGAATGCACCGCTGGACGCCGTGTGGAAGGTATCGCGTTTTCACACCAGTACCGATAAGGTTGAGCCAATTCAAGTTGGGAAGTGTTTTAAAACGTGAAACTTTAGAAACGTAAAATAGCTGCCAGCGGAACGAGGCATTGAGCAACGAAACAGTGTTCAATGAGACGGGCTAAGCGAAATACACGCGTGAAAATATCTTCAAATAAAAATATCTTGAGAAAAACTTCATTTTCCGAATGTATATTTATTACAGATGTACATTTGTGATACGATTCTCTGATGAAGGTATGAAATACGGTCAACAAAGCACTTGGAAAAATGAAAGGTAAAGCTGTAGCAATATCGTGAAGATAAGACTACAGACAAGACCTAGACTTTTTCCTTTGATGAAAAACAATCGATCATATTTTCCATCGTAGACACCAACCATAATATATAGCAAGATGATTCTCTCTACCTCGAGCCAAGACTTCCCGATGTAATTACCATCCGTTTGGGCGATGGTAAGAAGTGTCTTGATCGTCTCCATGTTCTTCGTTTCATTTTCATGAATATGCGTGCCACTGGTCATATTGATAAAAGTGAACCTGGATTGAGCACGGCATTTCTTTCCAACTACAAGTAATGAAAAGAGTTATTAGGAGTATCGAAAAATGAACTTAAT